AAGAAATCCTTTTTATGGAGGGAGGAGTAGGATGGCTCAAGTGCTGTTATGGGAAATCTCCTCAGTTTTAGGCTGGCTGTGCTTGGGTGGCATCAGAGCTGGGCATGCTGAACCAGAGCTTGTCTAGTCCTGTTTCAGCCTCAATGCTTTGTGTCTCGCAGCCGTTGCGTTGGGTGTCCAGCGCCTCAGCAGCTCTCCCAGTGCAGTGGGTGCTGGGGAGGCTCTTCTCGGGACACTGAAGTATTTCCCCTATCAAGGGAAACCCTGCAGCCGTGGCTGCTGCTCTGTGCTCCTGCAGCAGCGTGGGGGTAGCTGGGGAAGGGTCCCTCTTCTCCGAAAACACCCGGAACGTGGGGGCACACCCAGGCGGCTGTGACTGTCACTGCCGTCTGTGCCGGGGGACACACGGGCCCTTGCAGGTCTACAATTTCTGTGGGAATTGCCACTGCTGTGTCCACATAGCACCCCCACAAAGATGAATCTGCTTCGAAAAGTCTTTGTTTTTTTAAATTATTGTCCTTTAGGTAAATCTATCCTTTACTGCCCAGTAAATTTACCTGTGTTGCCTCTGTGTGCAGCTCCCAGCCCACCAAGGAGGAAGACCCTCAGGAAATGGACTCCACCAAGATCCCCTTTTAACCTGGTCCAAGAAACGCTTTTTCACGATCCATGGAAACTTCTCATTGCAACCATATTTCTCAATAAAACTTCAGGTAAATGGAGTAATACTATCACGTGTTGTGTAAATGTTGGGGTGGTGGTGTAGGGTCAGAACAGCTGCCACTTTGTACTGCATTAATGAAAGAATAAATGTTTATTAACTGTGTCAGTGTGAAAAACATCTTAAATTTGTAACTTTTGCCTCTGAAAAAGCTCACTTCAGAAAGCACACATAGATGATCAGAAAGCAGAATTACCTGCAGAGTCCTCAGCTCCCGCTGGTTTCTTTCGCTAGGTAAAATGGCAATTCCTGTGCTCTGGGAGTTCCTCAAGAAGTATCCCTCTCCTGAAGTAACCAGGAACGCAGACTGGAAGGAAATGTCTGAGCTGCTCAGACCGCTCGGCCTCTATGAACTCAGGGCAAAAACCATCATCAAGTTCTCAGGTGGGTTTCCTGGATGTGGCTCTGCAATGGCCTGGGTTACACAGCAGCAAATGGCATTACTTTCAAATGGGGCTCTGTTTCCTTCTGTTCGGGAAATATTGGGGGGTCGTTTATTTTATGCAGCTTTGGGGCATGTTGTTCTTATATATGCAAAGCTGCTGATCCTGTTGTCTTAACTGGGAATGAAATAGCATATCCGTAACGAGGTCTGCCAGAGACCCTGGAATAAAACCATTCCTCTGTGGGCTCTGAAAAGAGAGATTTGGTTAAAACTCAATGCAATGATTTGTTAAGAAGGTGTTTAAGGTACACCCCATAAGGATTCATTGCCTGCTTTCACCAGGAAATAGCTAAAACTTGTGGCTTTCATTTAAAACGCTCCAGCGGGGAGATGTGTTACAGTAGCAGAGAATCGGGAGTGTGTCTGGCGTGGCTGCCTGCAGGCAGTGAGCTCCGTGCCCCTCCGTTGCAGATGAGTACCTGAGCAAGCAGTGGAGGTACCCCATTGAGCTGCACGGCATCGGCAAGTACGGCAATGACTCCTACAGGATCTTCTGTGTCAATGAGTGGAAGGAGGTGAGCGGTGGCTGTGCTGCTGGGGCTCGGTGGGTTTGGACCTACAGACTCCCTTGCTTTAAAAGAAAAAAAAAAGGCAATTTTTATCTCTTCAGTAGACTGAACTCCCAGAATGTACCTTCTACAAGTCTGAACCTGTAAATGTAGACTTGTGTCACTTTGATTTTTTTCCTCTGGTAATTTTACTCTTTCACTGGGTTCTTTTTTGTAATTGCTTTACGTGGGGGTGAGAGCCTCTTCCCTGCTCTGGTTAAGAACCGATTCCCTGTTTCCTGCCAGCCAGATCCTGCCCCCCTTCAAGATGGGTGCTGCTGGGGTTTCTGCTGTGCTGGGGTCCTCCCGTGGCGGATGGCCCCGAAGAGCTGCTCTGCTCTCCAAATGTAGGGGGATGTGGGTGGTCTCAGGGCTGTCCAAGGGCCGCATTCCTCGGTTGGCAGAGGCTGGCTATGGCGCGTCTCTGCTCCCTGCTGTGTCACCGCTCCCTGCTGCAGCGCAGGGGGATCTTGAGCTGGGTGGGCAGTTAGGTCAGAGCAGTGAGGTAGTGTGGGAAAGGGTATTTTGGTAAATGTGGACTACTTTTGTTGTGTTTTAGGTGCAGCCACAGGACCACAAGTTGAACGTGTACCATGCATGGCTGTGTTTTTGGGAGAACCAGGACGGGCTGAGCGTGGGCTGAGTGCAGCCCTGGGCAGAGGCTGGCCCTGCTCTGATCATCGTGTCCTTCCTGTAAACACTGGTGGGCCGCCCCCAGCCCGCTCATCGCTCTAATAAAATGTTTAAAATCTATTTTTTACCAAATGTGTCCTGGTCGCTGTAGCCTCTGTTCGTTGCAGGCCGGAATCCTGCTCTTCCCTCGGTGGCTCCGCTCGGTGCCTCCCCCGCGCCGCAGCCGGACCGTGGAACCCCCAGCCCGGTCCCGGGGAGGTGCCAGCGCTGGTCCTCGCGCTTCCCCCGCCCGGCCGCCAGGGGATCGCC